CGAGGACATGACGACCTGGTCCACGACGTCGATGGTGTACGTCACCTCGTGCTCGAAGGACGCGAGCGCGTCGAAGGGGTCCGAGTGGCCGACGCCGATCGTGACGCCGAGCGTGAGCGTGATGATGCCGTTCTCGTCCTGGACCGCGCTGCCGGGGCACGCCTCGACGAGCGTCGTCGGGTCGAGCGTCCGCGACACGGTCGAGTGCTCCGCGCACAACGACGCCGAATCGGCCTCCTGGCAGAAGCCGGCCGCGAGCTGGAAGTCGATGCAGTCCACGCCGACGGACAGCGTCCCGGTGAGCTCGGAGCTGCTGCCCGTCGTGACGACGTCCATGACGAGCGTGACCGAGCCGTCGGAGCCGAACGTCGACGACGGCGTGACCTCGGACGCGATGCCGGACTCGTCGAGGGTGAACGCGCTCGGGCAGGCGTCGTTGCCGAGGCAGGAGAGCCGAGAGGAGCGCGAGGTGGGTCACGACGCCGTCGGTCGGCGGCGCCGCGACGACGGGGCTCGGCGTCGGGCCGGGGAGGGCGGCGGTGGCGACGGGGGACGGCGTGGGGGCGGAGTCGGTCGGGCTGGGCGCGGGCTGGGGGGCCTCGAAGATGTAGACCGAGCCCGGACCCGTGGTCGTCGCTCTCGCCCCGACGACGAGTCGGTTGCCACTGAGGACGAGGTGTTCACCGAAGCGGTCGTTCACCGCGTAACCGCTGCCCTGCAAATTGGCGTCTTGGGTCCAGCTCGCGCCGTTGTCCGTCGTTGAGAAGAGGTAAGCACGGCCAGTGAAGGTGTCGGACCCGTACGCGCCGACGGCGAGTGTGTTGCCACTGATGGAGAGACTTGCGCCGAAGCGATAGTTTTCCGAGCCTGGGGCAAGTTTGGCCGCTTGGGTCCAGGTCGCACCGCCGTCCGTCGTGCGGAAGACATACGCCGAGCCAGACCAGGAGCCGTGGTCGTTGTCAAGGAATGAACCGACGGCGATCACGTCTCCGGCCTCGTTGATGGAAACTGCATAACCGAAGAGGTCGTTTGCCGCGACGTCGCTTGCGACGAGCTTGGCTTCTTGCGTCCAGCCCGCGCGCCCGTCGGTTGCGCGGAAGACGTAGGCGGCCCCCGTCGGTTGGCGCCAAGCAGTGTGCGCAGTGTGCGCGCCAACGACGACGACGTCGCCGCTTATCTCCACGTCAGTGCCAAAGCGGTCTTCCGCCGCGCGATCGTCGGCAACGAACTTTTCGCCTTGGTCCCAGGTCGCGCCGCCGTCCGACGTGAGGAACGCGTACGCCGAGCCCGCGTAGGTGTCGTCCTGCAATGCGCCGACGACGACGAGGTTGCCCTCGACAGCGACGGAGTAGCCGAAGCGGTCGCTCGCCTCGGCGTCCGGCGCGACGAGCTTCGCCACCTGGGGCCAGGTCGCGCCGCCGTCGGAAGTCTTGAAGATGTAGGCCGAGCCCGAATTGGCGGCGACTTCTTCCATGGTCGCGCCGACGACGATGATCTCGTTGTGGATGGCGACGGAGTAACCGAACTGGTCTTGCGCCGCGGCGTCCGAGGAGACGAGCTTCGCGATCTGCTCCGTGACGCGCAGGGAGAGGAGGAGGCCGGTGGTGCACGGAGAGGCGGATGGGTGCGAGTGTGCGCGTCGGCGGCAGAAGCTTTGGTTAGCTTTCTGGGGACGATGCGTCGGCAAGAACTTCGCAAGATCGGACGTACTGCACCATGACTCAATGTTGCAGAAAGGTCGACTGCACCTAGACTCAACATTCCGTCACTAAACCCCAGGTGCCGTCTTAGCGCTCGAGCTCACCCGTCGGCCATGGCGGCGCCGGCGCCGCGGTCCATCGTGCCGCGCGTGGCCTTCGGGTTCAACAGCAGCGTGTCGACGCCCGTGGTGGCCCTGGAGCAGGAGAGCCTCACCTACATCACCTTCACGGGGTCGCGGGCCGCCTTCGTGTCGGCGGAGGAGATCGGCGGCGAGAACCTGGCCGAGGGGTCGTCGAAGCCCATGCACTTCTTCCCCGCGATCCGCGTGCGGGGCACGCCGGCGCGCGTCGTCACGGCCGTCGCCTTCCACAAGCGGCGCAAGCTCCTGGGCCTCTGCGTGTCGCAGCTCCCGCGGGCCGCGCCGCCGGCCGTCGTCGTCTACTCGCTCGCGCAGTGCGGCGGCGCCTGGGTCCCCACGGTCGTCGGGACCCACACCTGGGACGAGGCGCCCGGCGGCGCGACCTTTGGCGCGGCGGACTTCAACGCCGACGCGTCGCTCGTGGTCTGCGCGTCGAAGGCGGAGGGCCGCGAGCGGCCGTCCGTCGCCGTCGGCTTCGACTGGGCCAAGCCGCCGGAGGAGGGCCTCGCGTTCTGCAGCCCCCTCGAGGCCGCCTGCGCGCACGTCTGCTGCCACCCGCGGGACCCGCTGGAGCTGTCGACGTCGGGCCCGCAGCACGTCCAGCTCTGGCGCCTGCTCCGCTCCGAACTGAAACCGCGCGCCGCCGCGAGCCACCTGCCGCCCGGCGGCGGCGGCAAGGCCGAGTACACGATCCACCTCTGGCTCGAGTCGGAGATGCTCGTCGCGGGCACGTCGGGGGGCGACGTCGCCATCGTCCAGGAGAACGAGCAGACGCAGCGCTTCGAGGGCGTGCACCTGTCCTCGGTCCGCGGCGTCGTGCCCCTGGAGCACGGCTTCGCGACGTGCTGCTCGTCCTGCGGCGTCTGCGTCTTCCGCCGCGACGACGACCCGCGCCAGCGGAAGCGGGGCAAGGTCGGCGTGAAGCTCATGAGGCGCCTCGCGCTCGACGGCGCGCGCAACGTCGTCGCGTGCTCCTCCTTCCCGCCGGCGAACGCCAACTCCGCCGCGGCGACGCTCCTCGTCTGCCGCCACGCCGTCGCGCTGCTGGACCTGCCCCAGCTCCTGCTGACGACGGACCCGAAGGCGAAGCGGCTGCCGGCGAAGCGTCTCGGCGCGCCGCACCACGAGGGCGACGTCATGGCGCTGTCCGCGGGGCTGTCGAAGCCCCTGTTGGCGTCGTGCTCGACGGTGGGCGGCGCGGTCTGCGTCTGGGACTGGCGCGCGCGCGAGCTCGCGGTGCGCTACGTGGGGGACGAGGCCTTTGCGAAGCAGGCGCTCGTGTGCCTCGACGTGCACCCGGGCGGCTACGAGCTCCTGGTGGGCCTCGAGGACGAGATGCGCGTCTACCGCCTCGGCCACCGCGAGCTCTTTTTGGCGCAGAAGCTCGCGACGAAGGGCGTCGTGCCGCTCCCGCGCGACGACCGGCCCCTCGTGTCGACGACGCCGCTGTCCGCCCTCGCCTACGCCAACGGCGGCCACCTCTTCGCCGCCGTCATGGGAAGGCTCGTCCAGGTCTTCGAGTCGCGCGCGACGCGCGACGCGGGCCGCGCGGGCTTGCTGCACGCGCTCCGGGGCCACGCGGGCAACGTGCGGGGCTTGGCCTGGGCGCCCGACGACCAGCGGCTGTTCACGGTGTCCGAGGACGGCGCGGTCTACGAGTGGTCCATCGGCCGCTTCGAGGACCGGCACCGCATCGTCGCGCGGACGCGCGACTGCGTGCGCCTCGGCGTCAAGTGGGCCTGCATGTGCGTCTTCGACGACGGCGCCCTGGTCGCCGCGGGCGCGCCTCGGGGCTCGGAGAACCGCCGGGGCCGCGACGCGTCGCCCGCGGGCGGCGAGGGCCGCGTCGAGGAGCCGCTGGTCTGCGTCTGGCCGGGCGCGATCGACGGCCCGTCGACGGACGTGCTCCTGGGGGACCGCGTCGTCACCTGCCTCCTCCCCGTGGACCCGGCGGGCGACGCCGCGGGCCTGCTCGTCGCGGGCACGGCCTTCGGGTCCGTGGTGACCGCGCGGTGGCCCTTCGACGGGCCCGACGGCGCGCCGGGCGACCTGCGGGAGCTGCCGCTCTGCGACGGCGCCGTCGTCGCGTTGACGTTCTGCCGCCGCGACGACACGCTCTGCGCCGCGGGCCGCGGCGGCGCGATCCTCGTCTGCTCCGCGGGCCGCGACGGCTTCCTCGGCGTCCGCGCGGCTCAGGGCAGGACAAGGGTGATTCAAGTTCGCTTCAACATGAGTGTTCCGCGCGCGCGCGTTCCGGAAAAAGCATCCACGCGTCGAGAGCGCTCCGAGGGATGATCGCTCGTCCCAAAATCAGCCGAAACGAGTGGAAAATGGCCGAGATAGGAGCCTCCAAAGTTGGGAATGTCGCACCCTTGTCCCGCCCAGGCGCGTCGCTCAAGCAGGCCCAGGCCTTCGGCGGGCCGTCGGACGAGATGGTGCTCATCGAGCGCGGCGCCTTCTACAAGCTCGAGAACGACGTGCGCACGCTCGTCGGCCAGCTCGAGCAGACCAAGGCCGCCGCGAAGCAGCAGCAGGACGCGGCGCGGCCCGAGTTCGAGCGGCGGCTGGGCGAGCAGGAGGAGTCCTACGAGGCGCAGCTCGAGGCGCTGGAGACGGAGGTCGACGGGGTGACGCGGCGCCTCGCCGAGGCGGAGGACGGCCACGCGGTCGCGCTCGCGGAGGCGCGCGCGGGCTTCGACGCGGAGGCGAAGGAGCTCGAGTCGCTCTACGACAAGAAGCTCGCGACCGAGGCCGCGCGCTACATGGCCATCCGCGACGAGATCGACAAGATCCGCCTCGACGCGCGCGACGAGCTCGAGAGCCAGGTTTTAGACTCGCGCAAGTCCGAGGAGAAGTGGAAGAAGTCGAAGGAGTCGCTCAAGGAGACGTACGAGGCCGAGGCGCGGCTCCTCCGCGACTACGCGGCCCAGGGCAAGCGCGAGGCGTCGGGCCTCCTCGAGGAGCAGGACCGCCGCGCGGACCTCGAGCTCTTCGCCGCGCGCGAGGCCGCGCGCGCGGACCTCGAGGAGCTCCAGCGCAAGCTCACGACGTCGCTCCACGACAAGGCCGTGCTCAAGCGGCGCAACGAGCAGCTGTCCATGGACTACCACAAGAACCGCGACGAGCTCACGGAGAGCCAGCAGGCCTTCTACGCGGCGCGCGACCGCGCGGCGGACGCCGAGGCGCGCCTCGGCGCCGCGCTCGCGGACCTCCGGCGCGAGCGCGGCCTCCGCGAGCGCCACGAGCGCCTCGCGGCGGACCAGGAGAAGCAGCTCGACGACCTGGTGCGCTGGAAGCGCATGCTCGGCGAGCAGAAGGCGTCCCTCGAGGAGACGATCGCGGCCAAGGACGGCGACCTCGCCGCGCTCGAGAAGAAGTGGCGCAAGCTCGACGGCATCCTCGAGGACGCGGGCATGCAGAACAAGGCCATGGGCATCACGCTGAACCGCAAGGCCAACGAGCTCCAGCGCGCGCGGACGCGCGTCGGCGAGTGCCGCAAGCACATCTTCTCCAAGGACAAGCGCCTCGGCGGCCTCGTCGAGCAGATCGACGTCTTCCTCCTCAAGCTCCGCGACCCCGCGATCCGGCCCCAGGCCGTCGTCCTCGAGGAGCTCCACGCCGTCCGCGACGCCGTCGTCCGGCTCCAGCCCGCGCGGCACCGCGCGGGGCCGCCGGAGCCCGACGGCGGCGCCGGCGACGACGACGGCGCCTCCGACGACAAGCGCGACGCCGCGGCGCGGCGCAAGCCCAAGCCCCGGCCCAGGGCCGTCGGCGTCGGCGCGGACAAGACGCCCGAGGAGCGCACCGTCGACATGCTCCGCGCGCAGAACCTCGAGCTCATGGAGGAGCTCAACGACCTCCGCTTCGACCGCAAGTCGCTCCACCGCAAGCTCCGCGACGAGCAGTTCAAGAACAAGTGGGGCAAGCGCGCCGCGCGGCCGCGGCCGGGCGACGACGACGACCAGGCCGACCACGCGTCGAGCGTGCCGGAGCTCGTCCCCATCCACGCCCAGACCGTGCCCCCGGACTTCCGGACGAAGCTGCCGGACCACCTCCGGCCCCTCGCGGGGAGCTCGTAACGCGGGCGCGCGACGGGGGGTCGACGTCGGCCCGGGGGGAGCACAACGGCGGCGGCGGCGACGGAGGCGACAGCGATGGCGGCGATGGGCGCCTTGGGGATCGGGGGACAACAGAGGGGGCGGCGGCGGCGGACGCTACTTCATCTCGACGACCTTGGTCGCGGCGGCCGGCTCCTTGGCGGCGCGGCAGAGGCCGGCGAAGAGGATCGTGGCGATCGTCGCGAGGGCGACGACGACCATGGCCACGTGTGTGGGCGGCGGCCCCGAGCGCTTCTTCTTGCTGCTCGCGCCGTCGTCGTCGTCGTCCGCGGACGCGGCGCGGCAGAACTTGACCTCGGCGCGGTCCGAGTAGAGCGCGCGGTGCGCGGCGGCGAGCCGGCGCCCCGTCGCCGTCGCGTTCGTCGGCGGCCCGAAGTAGTCGCCGATCGTCGTGTATGCCGCGTCGTCGTAGGCGGCGACGTCGTCGTCGACGTAGCCGAGGGCGTTCGAGAGCGCGTAGCAGTACTCGCCCTCGTCGCAGTCCGCGTGGTCCTCGCACCACTCCGGCGTCTCGAACGTGGCGACGCCGAGCGTGTCCCGATGAGCCTCGAGGTCCGCGAAGGCCTGCTGCACGTAGGCGAGCGAGGACGCGTCGGACCGCGCGGCGTCGAAGGCGGCCCCGAGCGCGTCGGCGTCGACGGCGTCGATGTCCGGCGGGAGCGAGGCGTTGAACGACCGCTTGCCGACGGTGACGGACAGGACGTGGACCCCGTCGACGCAGCCGTAGTACGTCGCCGTCGTCGTGCAGTTGCAGATGCGCGCCGAGACCCGCTCGAGGACGGCCGCGAGGGACTCGTCGGGCGACGACAGGTCGTCGCAGGGTTTGCCGTCGGCGCGGGCGTCGCCGTCGGCGCGGGCGTCGCGGCGTCGTCGAGGCGCCGCTGGCCGTCGACGTCGACGGTGACGACGACGTCGACGCCGCCGCCGCCGGGCATCGCGGCGCCGCCTGTGTGGAATTCAAATCTTCAACCCGACTTCAATTTGAGCGTATGCGACCGTTTCGACGCGACGTTTTCTGCTGTGCTTCAAGAACTCGACGAGAGCAATCGATTCGTCCAAAAATCAGCCGAATCGACTTCGAATTGGCCGAGATAGAGAGTTCTGAAGTTTGGTGGGGACCCCCCAAACCAGTGGTTGGTTTCCACACAGGGCGCCGCAGATCGACGCGTAGCGCGTCGGCTTGGAGGAGCGGTACTCGACGTCGTCGACGAGCTTGTGGTAGCGGCAGCGCGTGCCGTCCTTGAACTCGCAGCAGCCGACGGCGCCCGTGAGCTGCGAGTTCCAGTCCGTGCGGTCGAGCTCCGCCGCGTAGTCGTTCGTGTAGGTCTCGCAGGCCTCGTGGCAGAGGTCGATGTCGTCGTAGGCGTCGAGGTCGAGGTCGACGTACTCGTCGCCGTCGCCGCAGACGTAGTACTGGTCCAGGGCCGCGCACGTGTGGGCCGGGTTGCAGGCCTCGGTCCACGCGTCGTAGTAGTCGTAGTAGGACGGGTCGTGCTCCCACCAGCGCGCGCTCTTCCACTCGTACTCGTCGAGGCAGCCGGGCAGGAAGCCGGCCTCGCACGCGTCGTTGTAGTCCCACTTGTAGTTCGGGCCGCTCTCGACCTACGAAACGCGTCCGCGGCGATCTTTCTTCGTCGTCCCGGTCGAACGCTCTCGAACGTCGTCGCGGCCCGCGGGACGCCGCGCTCGACCTCCCAGATGCAGTAGGCCGTGCCCATGGTGTACCGCTCATAAATCTGGAGCTTCTGCCTCCCGAAGCACTTCATGAAGTCGTCGGTGATGAACGCGCCCGCGTCGCCCCAGGTCAGCGACCACGCGTGGATGAGGTACTTCCAGTGGCGCGTCTCGGTGTCGTTGAAGTTGCCGACCTCCATCTCGTGCTCGTAGTTCAGCTCCATGTCCGGGAAGACCTGGTACTCGTAGTGGCCGCTGTCGGAGAAGAGGTGCTTGTCCAGGTACGGGTTCGTGAACGTGTCCTGCGCGAGGTTCTCCATGGGGTTCGACGTGCCGAAGAAGGACACGAGCGTGTCCGGGCCGTTGACCTCGCGGACGACGCGCTGCATCGTCTCGTAGAACTCGTAGAGCCGGTCGTTCTTCGACGTGCCCGACGGCTCGTTCGTGAAGATCATGCCGAGGTAGACGGGCGAGTCCTTGAAGTGCGTCGTCAGGTTCGTGAGCACGGCGACGTTTATTTCGTAGAAGTTCTCGACGGGCCAGCTCTCGTTGAACGCCTGGTTGTCCGCGGACCGGAACGCGCGGCCCGCCTCCATCTCGTAGGCCGGGTCCCAGTCCTGCGCGATGTCGACGTATTCGCTGTCGCGGTACGTGTTGCACGCGGGCTCGTCGATGCCGCAGTTGGTGTACTTCATGCAGCTCCCGCAGGACTGGGCCATGTTCTGGCAGCCCTTGGCGGCGAAGTACGCGAGGAAGACGGCGACGTTGTACTTTTCGCACCACTCGAAGATCTGCTCGAGCTTGGCGAAGGTGCCCGTGCGGTAGGGCAGCTCGTGGAAGACCATCCAGTACGTCACCTGGACGCGGACGTGGTTGACGCCGTGGTGCGCCATCCACGAGATGTCCTTCTCCGTGATGTAGGTCGCGAGGTGGCCGCCGAGGCGGAACTCCGTCTCGTCGGCGCCGAGCTCGAGGCTCAGCGAGTAGTCGTCGCCGACGCAGCGGTCCGCGCCCTCGGGGTCCCACGCGTCGTTCGCCTTGCCGAACATGTTGTCGCCGCTGTCCGCGTCCTTCCAGAGGCTGTAGCCCGCCTTGTACTGCATCATCATGAGGCCGTTGATGTTGATGCCGCGGAGCAGGGGCCGGAACTCCTCGACGGCCGCGTGGATCGTCACGGTCCACGTCGTCTGGTCGCCCGGCGGCGAGTTGCCGTACATGACGGCGCCGGCCTTGTCGCGGAGCAGGTCCTTCGTGAAGCCCGGGGCCCGGAGCGCGGCCTGCTTGCCCCGGTACTCGAAGCCGTCGTCGACGACGTACTCCCAGACGAAGGCGTCGTCGGAGAGGAACGCGGCGTCGCTATCGTCGTCGCCGGCGAGGTAGCGGCCGCCGACGGCGAGCGTGATCGCCGTCGAGTTCCACGCGGGCCGCCCCACGGCGAAGACCGCGGCGGCGCCCGCGTCGGCCGTCGTCGTCGCCGCGCCGTCGCCGTCGACGGCGAGGTAGAGGCCCGTGTCGACGTTGCGCAGCGTGATCTCGTCGCGGTCCTGGAAGCGGCTGTCCGTGCGCGGGAACTGGAAGCCGCTGCGCTGCTGGTTGTCGGCCACGTAGGGGTGGCTACGGTTCACGAAGTGGCGCTCGACCTACCAGATGATCTCTCGAACACCGTCACGGCCGCAGGACGCTGCGCTCGACGGTCATGGGGCTCTCGCTGGCGGGGATGACCGTGTCGTAGAGGACATCGTCGACGGCCGTGTTGTAGTTGCCGTTGTGATAGTCTAAGGCGAACCCCAGCGCGGCGCAGGCGAGAAGGCGGGCGGCGACCATGGTGGCGGCGAGGAATGCAGTGTGCTGCCCAGTTGCAAAAGAAACTTCAAGAAGCTCTCGGCCTATAGATCTTAAGCTTGCGCATGCGAGGGGACGCACTTGGGGACGCGGCTCCATCAAGAGGCCCGCGCGCCGCCTGCGTGCGACTTAGACCTCGGCGCCGCGGATTACTCGTAGGAGAGCCGCTGGAGCGCCGTGAAGCAGGCGTCCCGCGGGCAGTGGAGCGGGTGCGTGCAGGGCCAGGCCCGCGTCGCGCCGTTCGCGAGGGCGACGGGCGCGCCCGCGGCGTCGAAGACGAGGTGGGGCCGCTCGCGGCGCGAGAGCGACGCGGACGAGCCGTCGTCGTAGAGGATGAGGCTGCCTGCGAGCGGCGGCGCGGTCCGGGGACGCGCGCCGCGCGACGGGGGGCGCGGGTCGACGCGCCGTAGGCCGCGACGTCGTCGTGGCGCCGCCACGTGTCGCCGCCGTCGACGCTCCACGCGTGCCCGCCGCTCGAATCCCAGCCTCCCGCGTGGCTGAGCGCGTGGAGCACGTCCGGGTCGCGCGCGTCCACGTAGAGGTAGGGGTCCTCGCCCGCGATCGTCGCGTCCGCCGCCGACACCGCGTAGGTCGACGCGTTGCGCCAGTCGGCCGCGCGCCAGACGTAGGGCGGCCGCCCGAGGCCGACGAGCGACCCGTCTTTGCGGATGATGGGCGCGAGGTTCGTGTCCCACGCGCCCGGCGCGGGCACCTCGACGGGGTCCGACCAGGGGCCGGACGGGTCCGCCGCGAAGCTCATGTACGTCGCGAGCGGGAACTCGCCGCCGGGCCAGGTGCAGCTCGCGTCCGGCAGGCAGTCCGCGCGCGACGCGTTCGCCGCGCCGACCGAGTCGCCGTCGTCGCAGTCGCCGCACTCGGCCCCGGAGCAGGGCACCGCGCCGAAGGACGCCGTCCAGAAGAGGACGAACTCGCCCGTCGACGGGTCGCGCGCGACCGTGGGCTCGTGGCCCCAGACGCCGAAGGCGACGTCCCGGGGCTCGAAGGGCCCCTCGGGCGTCGCGGAGACCGCGTGGCGGACCCGCGAGTTGCTCATCCAGACGACGATGCCGCAATGGCGCGTCATCTCCGCGGCCCACATGTGGTAGAGGCCCGTCGCCGGGTCCCTAACTACCGACCCGCCCCAGGTAGAGACGCGGCCGCCCGCGTCCGCGGCCTGGAGGCCCGCGTCGCGGCGCGTCGGCGCGAGCGCGAGCTGGCCGCACCGCAGGCCCATCCACTGCGGGTAGCACGCGCACGTCCCGGCGTCGGAGCAGACGCCGTTGTAGGAGCAGTCGCCGCGGTCGGCGCACGGCGTCACCACGGTCCGCGGGTCGCGCTGGCCCGACGTGACGCGGCCCCAGGCGAGCGGCGCCGACAGGTCCGAGTAGAACGGCCGCCAGGCGCCGCTCGCGTCGCCGTGGCACGTCGCCGCGAGCGACGCGTCGCGGTAGTCCGAATGGTAGAACACGAACGACCGGCAGGCGCCGACGCAGAGCGCCTGGCACGCACGCGGCGACGTGACGTTGGACCCGAGGAGAGCCAGGGCCCCGAGCCGGCCGTGGCCGACGTCGGCGTTCTCGTACACTTCGAAGGCGGCGTCGACGGTCGCGCGGGCGACGAGTGCAAACAAGACCATCGTCGATGAGGACGAGAAGACCATGTTCGGGGAGGAAGACACGGGCTGCCAAGGCAAGACGAGTGCGAACAACACTGTTGATGAGCACCACAAGAATACCATATTACAGTGGATTCGAAGAAGACACTGCAGTAGCCGGCTTCTACATGTATGGGCTGCCACTTATTCAGCATCGGCTGCAACACCCTGCCTGCCTCCGATCTTGCCTCCCGCAGCCGCAGCTTCTCATGTCCTAAAACACTCCGAAAACCCGAATACAATCCGGCTGCGCTGTGCTGTGCTGTGCTGGCTCACGCACGTCGGCGTACAACCCAGACGCGCCGTGGACATGGAGGATCCGACCAAAGCGCCGGAGGAGGTGCCCGGAGTGCAGGGGCTGCCGGTAGGACCACTCAAGCTGGCAGGCGTCTGGGACACGACGGGGTCGCCATGGCTGGGAAAAACACTCTCCCGCGCGTCGTCGGCAAACCGGGGAACCAACCTGCCTGTGAAGGTCACCGGATGGATCCCCGCACTGGATTTAAAGGACGCGCGCTGCGTCATCGACAGTCACGGCACGCCAATGGCGGTCTACAGAGTCCTCTACGAAGATGGAGATGAGGAGGAACTCGAAGAACATGAGGTCTGGGAGAGCTGCCTGCACAAGGAGCGCCACGGAGAGGCTGCGAGACAGGGCAAACTTGTGAAGATCACGAAAGATCACGCGTATGCGGGCAGCTTCGCGGTCGTGATGAAGGATTCGAGGAGATGGCTCCGCATCCAGCTCTTCCTCACCACCAACGTGTTCCACTACATCAACGTGTGTAAGAGCATGGTCGAGATGATCGAGCCGGACGCCCAGCGCCGCGCGTCGGAGGCGGGACAGCCAACGGCATCGAAGCGAAAGGAGCTGTCCGCGCTGCTCTCGACCGACGAGGAGAGCCGGGAAAAGCGCGCACGCGGCGAACCGTTTGCGGTGACCCTCGAGTGTGATGGCTCGTCCGCCGGGCAGGAGGAAGAGGCCCGGTCCGGAGAGGCCCAGCGCGAGGAGGAGGACGCGCGTCTCGCCGCGCGGGCCGCGCGCTTGGATGCCGAACGCAAGACGGAGAAGGCCCGCTCCATGGATGCGATTGCAGAGGCCGCAGCAGACCTCCCACAGCGGACGATGCAAATGGCCGCGCAATGGAGCCCGTGCCCGGACGCGATGGGTGACGAATTCGAGCGTTTCGTGCGCTTCTTCGAGGCGTTCGCCGAGCGGTCCGGGCAGCGGATCGTGCAGCTGGACGTCCACGTGACGGCGAAGTTCGAGAAGGCGGTGGCGGCTGATGGGCGGGTCGGGGCTGCGCGGCGCGCGGCTCCCGACGTCGCCACGACGACGCCCTCCCCTAGGGCGGCGTCCCCGAGCCCGACGTGGCCGGTGTCACCGGAGAGCAATTCGTCCGGGGAGCACGCCGAGGGCGAGGTCGCCGCCGCGTCGCCAGCGAAGTGGGCCTGCGACTGGTGCACGTACCTCAACCCGCCGTCGGACGCCATCTGCGGCATCTGCTCCAACGGCGTCCGCGCCGCCGCGACGCCTCTCCCGGGGTCCTCCTAAGCTTAGCGCGGTGCCCCGAGCTGGGTCGACAGCGCCCGTGACTTAGGGTGCATGCTACTAGGTGGTGTCATCTTGGTTGCGGCGACCTTGGGGATTTCGGTGCCGCGGGTCGCGCGTGCCCAAACTTGCACTTATCGCCCAACCCGCAGCGGCCGCGGGCGTCGTATTTACATCGGACCATGACGCAGGTTTTGCGCGGATCTTCATCAGAGCGCCACACCACGAGGTCGCTTGCTTCCGGGGAGTTACAAAAATCCTTGAGCTTGCCCACCGTGGTTTTTCTGTGAGCGCCAGCGCGATAAAATGGTGCCATCTCTTTCCCGCAAACTGATCCACCCTGCGTGCGCACGTATCTCAACAGGTCACGCGCGACCTCACGCTTCATGGGCGCCGGCGACGCCATGGCGCCTCTGGCATCAGCGGGAGGAAACGCAACGACCAGGGCATCGCGGCACTCGATGATACGGCGCGCCTCCTCGGGCGACGCTCCGACTTCTTCAAATTCTTTCGCCTCGAGGTCACCGAAGGCCCGATCATCGATTTCTTCTTCCGCGAACTTGTCGGCGAGCTTTCCCGATAGGCCGAGCGTGTCGAGGACACGCGCGACGCAAGTGCCGCCGCGGCTGTTCGCAAGGTCCGAGGCAGTTGCCGGAGCTCGAGCCGGCGCGTCCGGCGTCGTTTCCGGGATCGAGACCTGAGCCAGCCGCTCCCTTTCGAGCGCTGCGACCCGCGCGTCGACGTCAGCCTTCGCCCGCAGCGTGATGAGCTCGCATTTTTCTCGCAGCTTAAGCTTCGTCTCCTCGTGCCTTTGCTTCTCCTTGTCATGCTCCGCCTCCGTTCGCGCGAGTGTGCGCGAGAGCTGCGCCAACTTGTCGTCTCGCTCGCGCTCTACGTCCCGGAGGCGGACCGAGAGGTCGTCGAGTCGAGCCGACGCTTCCTCCCGTTCGACCTCCGCGCGCCGGAGCCGCGACGAGATGTCCGCCGAGATGTCCGTGAGCTTCCGGACCGTGCCGGCCGCAGCCTCGAGCTCGGTCTTCTGTGCCGCGACGGTGTGACAGAGGTCCGTCGCTGTCGCCTCGGCCGCGGCGCGGAGGGCGTCGAGGGCGCCGGCGCTCGCGGCGCCGGCGCTCGCGTCCTCGAGCTCTACCTTCTGCGCCTCGATGATGCGACCCGCCTCCGCCGCCGCCGCCTCGGCGGCGGCACGCGCGGCCTCGGCGGCCGCGCGCGCGGTGTCGGCGGCGGCGGCGCGCGAGAGGGCGTCTGCCGCAGCCGCCTCGGCCGCTGCGACGCGCGCCGGCGCCGTCAGGTCGAGATCCGCGGCGGCCTGGACATCGCAGAGCCTCGCCTGGAGCTGTTCGATGGTCCGCTCTTTCGCCTGGAGCCGCTTTCGAAGCAGGGCCTCGTCGCCTCCCCCGGCCGCGCGCGCTGCTGTTGCGCCGCCGCCGCCGCCGCCCTTGCCGCCGCCGGACTTGGCGGAGCTCCGCGGCCGGCCGCCTCCGGCCGGCGGGAGGGAAGCCTGGAGCTCCGCGAGCGACCGCTGCGGCCGCGCGGCGCTCGACGAGGCCCCGTCCTCCGGGTTGCCCTCGTCGTCCGTCGCCGGCTCCTCGGGTGCGCGTCGTCGGTCCCGATGCTGCGTGCGACGGCTGTTGGTCGACCGGCTCTCGCCTCCCGCGGCCCCGACGCCCGACGGGCGCGCGAGTAGGTCCTCGACGTAGGCGCGCTTGTCCGACGCCTGCTCCCAGCCGTAATGGGACACGACGACGAGCCGCCAGCCGAGGGCGCGCACGAGGCGGTGCTTGAAGCGCGTCCGTCCCGTCTGCGTCCGGTCGGCGAGGTAGTGCTGCGGGCCGTCGTACTCGACGGCGACGCGGGCGTCGACGTCGGCCGCGTCCGCCGTCAGGCCCGTGCCGTCGAGGTCGACCTCCATCTCGTGCGCAAAGCCGCACTCGCGGAGCACCTGGGACACGGACTCCTGAGCCCGAGAGACTCTGACGCCCTGGGCCGTGAGCGTCGCCGCCCAGGTCGACGGCGGTTCCGGCAGGCCGGCGGTCCAGTCCGTTTCGTGTCTCAGGCTCAGCCAGACCTGCGCCAGCTGCGAGCGGTCGTCGTCGTGCGAGACCCCCGCGTCGAGCAGGCCGGTCCAGAGGTCGCGGACGAGGTCGCGAAAGCCCTCGCGCGCGTCGTCGGGGCGCGCCGCGACGACGAGCGCCCAGAGCACGCCCACGCCGTCGGAGCGGTTCGCGCGCGCCTCGGCGAGGATGAAGCCGGCCCGGCGCACGCACGCTTCTCGCAGCTCGTCGACGCCGGCGAAGTTGATGACGACGAGGCGGTTGAGCGCTATGGCCATCTCGCGAAGATCCGCTTTGGAGACGACCGCGGCCGCGACGCGCCGGGCGTCGCAGGTCTCGAAGAAGCGCGACGGCACCTGGGCGCCACCGAAGCCCAACGCGAGGAGCCGGTACGTCTCCGGCCGGACGTCTCGGTCGTTTCTCGGGTCGAGGGCCACGTCGTCGGCGAGGTCGAGCACGCCGCGGGCCGACTCGGTCCAGTCCAGCCCGAGCTTCGCCAGGTGCGACCCGCCGCGCGTGATGACCGTGCCTATCGCGTACGCGAGCATGCTCGCCTCTTGGACCGCTTGCGCCAGGCACGGCACGCCCATGTTCAAACGGTGGCTCACCTCGCAGCCGACGAGGTACACCAGCTCGGTCGCGACGTCCACGGGCGCGTGCTGCGCAAAGTATTTCGCGATACCCGCGAGCTCGTACTCGAGGCCGTTCTCCAGGAGTCGCCGCATGGGGCAGCGATTCCAGGCCTCCTCGAACCAGCGCTCGACGTCGCGCGAGTGGTCGAGGGACGCGAGCGCCTGCGCCAGGTTCGCGAGATCTTGCGCGATGAACCTCGGCAGGACCTCGACCGAGGCCTCGCTCAGGGGCAGCAGGACGCGGCACCGGTCGCGCCAGCCGACCTTGAACACGCCCCAGGCGATTTCTGAGAGGTCTCGCGCCGCAAATTTCGACTCGACGATCTCCGGGAGGAGGTCGACGATGCGCGGCGCGAGCGCCTCGAAGAGTGGGGCGCTCGATGCGACGTCGAAGACGCTCACGCACTTGCCGAGCGCCCCGCACACGTTGGCCGCTCCGCGCCCGTCGAACTCATCCGCGCACTCGACCACCTGCCGCACGATCCCGTGGCGTATCGTCGTCGCCTCCCGACCCCGAGCAAAGAGCTTCGTCAGCGACATGGTCATAATCGCGAGCATCTTTGGCGTCCACGCCACGTGAGCCTCGTTCGACTCGTCAAACGTCTTCGCGAGCACGTCGAGCACCCGCAGCGTCGTCGAGTTTCTGTCCTCGCGCGCCTCGGGGTCCCTGCAGACCTGGTTCAGCGCCAAGACCAAAAAGACCGGAGACGGCTCGCGGCCGAGTCGCTCGACGACGCGGTAGACTCGCTGCGCGCTATTCGTCCAGTTGCCGCCGCCGCTGCCGTCGCCCTTGAAGAGCTCCGGTTTCAATATCTCCTCGTCCGGATGCAGCGGCGGATCTTTGCGCCTCCGCCGCGGAACCGCACATTTTTGCCAGAAGTCGGCCGGTGCATTTGGCGGCACGGCGAGATGATCGACCATCAAGTTTTTGCGGGTTTGTGCTGGACCATGCTCCCGCGCTTGCCAGGATATATATTGGCCGGGGGTAAAATCCCTGCCTAAGCTTAGCGCGGTGCCCCGAGCTGGGTCGACAGCGCCGCGACCGCGGCGGCGAGGTCGTCGACCTTCTCGAGCGCGGCCGCGTGGCGCCGCTCCTGGTCCGCGGCGATGGCGTCGAGGCGGTCGTGGAGCCGGGCGACTTCATTTTCACTCTTGGACGCGCGCATGCGCTTGCTCCGCTCGAGGCTGAAGCACGTGCCGAGCGGGATCCAGGAGAAGTCCGCGTCCGCGTTCTTCGCGCGGACGTAGGCCTCGACGGGCGAGTCGATGGACGGGTCCTTGGCCGCGAGGTAGCCCACGAAGTGGACGTAGTTGCGCATGGAGAAGAGGGCCTGGTGCTCCGCGAAGTCGAGCTCCGCGGCCTCGAGCTGCGCGCGCGTGAGGCCCGTCGCGAAGTTCTCGTTCGCGCGGCGCTCCGCGAGGCGCTGCGCGTTGATCGTCTCCTGCGTGAAGGCGTCGAGGATGATGCCCGAGATCATGTTGAGCAGGAGCAGCGCGACGACGATGTTGAAGACGAGCTGGAGCAGCATGCGCTTGAGCTCCGCGTTCGACGGCATGAGCAGGTCGTGGTAGTCCGTCGCCGCGTCGTTCGTGACGTGCTTCGTGACGGACACGAGCTCGCCGTTGACGATGCCGTGGTAGACGTTGAGGAACAGGCACTCCTTCACCGTCTTGCAGTAGTGGTCGTCGCCGCGGAGGCTCTGGAACGCGAGGAGCCCGACGACGGTGAAGACGAGGCAGACGACGCACATGAGGTACGTCGCCACGAGGAGCTCGTTGAAGGGCCGGAGGATGGCCCGCGTGACGTTGCGCAGCGAGCTCGACAGCAGCACGATCTCCAGGAGCAGGAGGCCGAAGCAGTCGCACGACGCGAACACGCCGCACGCGACGACGGCGAGGAGGAGCGCGTGGCCCACGATCTCCTCGCTCGCCGTCGCGAAGTCGTAGGCCGTGCAGTACCAGAAGGCGTCCCTCGAGTCGATCTTCGCGTACCAGCGCCGGAGCCGCGGCGGCGCCGCGGCCGCGAGGACCGCCGCGACGTAGAGCGCGTACGCGTCCTCGTAGCCTGGGCAGGAAAAGGGTGATTCAACGTCACTTCAACGTGAGTGTTCCGCGCGCGCGCGTTACGAAAAAAACATCCACGCTTCGAGACCGTTCCGAGAGATGATCGCTCGTCCAAAAATCAGCCGAAACGAGTGGAAAACGGCCGAGATATGAGCCTTTGAAGTTGGGAATTTCGCTCTCTTGTCCTGCCCTGCTCGTAGCCGAACGTCGCGGAGAAGCCCGCGGTCGCGAGCGCGAGCACGAGGCCCAGGGCCAGCAGCGGCAGCCAGGCACCGTGGTCCCGGTCCCAGCGCCGCGACTCGCGGAGGCCGCGCGCGAGCGCGTTGTCCTCGAAGAGGAGCCGCCGGAGCCGCGGCGCGGCGCCGTCGTCGCCGCGGTCGTCGCCGGGCTCGCCCGACGTCGCCTCGAGGAGGCCCATGCGCGCGCGCTGGTACGCCTGGGCGTGGCGCGTGTAGACCGTGGGGAAGACCGTCGCCGCGGCGACGGCGAGGAACCTGCGCGGGAACATGGTGATTCGACGTCGCTTCGACGTGCGCGCGCGGTCCAGAAAAAGCATCCACGCGTCGAGACCGTTCCGAGCGACGATCGCTCGTCCAAAAATCAGCCGACATGAGTGGACAACGACCGATCGAGGAGCCTTTGAAGTCGGGCCCCTTTCCCGCCCGGCGAGGAACGCGGCGAAGCCGGCCGCGACGGCGGCGGCGAGCGCCGCGGACACGTAGGCGGCGATCCGCGCCTTGCGGTCGATGAAGAAGGCGTCGCGGACGAGGAGCGCCGCGAGGGGCGGCGCCGCGGACCGCGGGCCGAGCGCGCGCCACTCGTCCTCGCGGCCCGCCTTCTCCGCGATGCGGTGGCTCCGGTCGTTCGCGAGGGAGCTCGTGCCGAAGAGCACGAAGCTGAGGGCGTAGATGGACCACTTCAGGGGCCGCTCGCGGCGCTGGACCCAGCGGTAGGCCGCGGACCGCGACGTGAGCCGCCACGTCATCGCCATCGCGTCCGCGAGCAGCGCGGCCTGGCGGACGACGGCGCCGACGCGCGCGGCGACCGTGAGGCCCCGGTGCTCCTCGACGAGGGCGCGCACGAGCTCGTCGCCGCCGCCGCCGGCGTAGGGCGGCGCCGTGTAGACGACGACGCGGCAGCCCCCGCGGAACGACACCTCGGACGTGAGCAGGCTCGACCGGAGGCTCGCCAGCGCGCGCTGCCGCGCGCGGCGCTCGCCGCGGTCCTTCGGCGGCGCGAGCAGCGCCGTGCTCAGCGTGCACTCGCCCCGCACGACGAGCCGGATGCTGAAGAGCTCCTGGACCTACCGAACGCGCCGGTCGCGATGTTTCCCGGCCGACCGCTCTCGAACGTCGTCGCGGCCGCGGGACGCCGTCCCGCGCCGCCTTGGCGAGGAGCGCGGGCGACACGAGGAGCGGCGCGTCGACGGCCGCGCGCCGCGCGTTCTCGACGCGGGCCTCGCGGAGCTCGAGCGCGACCCGGTCCAGCGCGGGCCGGAGCTCCGCGTGGCCGACGATGGCGCCCCGGAGGTCGTCGCCCGCGCCCTCGAGCGCGCAGACGAGCGCGGTGAGGCACTTGATCTTCAGGAGCGCGAGGTTCGCGGCCGCGGCGACGGCCGCGGCGTCGCCGGAGCGGAAGACGCGGCCGTCGTCGAGGGCCGCCGCGGCGCCCATGTGGAGGTCCAGGGGCAGCAGCGCGGCGAAGTTCCCGCCCATCGCGCCGAGCTCCCTGAGGTTGTCCCGCGCGCGCCGGCCGGCCTTGCGGACGTCGCCGAGGAAGCTGGCCTCGCGCCGGTCCTCCGCGGCGCGCGACCAGTGGTTCAGGACGCCCTTCTGGACGACGAAGGACCGGCCGACGTGCTCCCGGAGCCGCCGCCAGGGGTTGTTCGGCTTCCGCGCCCAGTTCTTCACGACGCCGCCCTTGACGGCGAAGGACTCGTGGTAGTGGCGCCGGAGCCGGGCCCACTTGGACGGCGCGGCGCCGAGGGGCTCCGCCGCGAAGCCCTCGGCGTCGACGCAGCGGAAGAGGCCGCCGCCGGCCGCCGCGTCCCCGCGGTAGCTCTCGCCCGCGCCGGGCCGCGGCGACGGCGGCGGCTCGGGCGCGAAGCCGTCGTCGAGCGCCGTCTCGGGCCGCCGCGAGTCGCCGACGTCGTCGTCGCGCCGCTCGTCGAAGCCGGCGAGCGTCGACGCCGCGCCGAGCACGACGGCGAGCGGGCCCGGCGCGCCGCGCGCGACCGCGTCGCGCGTGCCGCCGCCGCGCGTCCGGAGCACCGCGACGACGAGGTCGACGACGCGGTGGAGGTCGAAGACGGCCGCCGGCGCGAGCTCGCGCGCGGGCAGGTCGCCGGCCGCGTCGCCGGCGACGAGCGCGTCGAGGAGCCGCGCCGCGGCGGCGAAGAGGTCGAAGGACCGCCGGTTCAGCCCCTCCTGGCTCGCCATGGCGCCCATGAGCTCGCCGCGGTCGCTCACGGTGCCCAGGAGCAGGTCCACGGCGCTGAGCGCGGCGTCGACGGGCGCGCGGAGCGCCGCCGCCGCCGCCGCCGCCGCGGCCGCGTCCGCCGCGGCCGCGCGCCGCTCCGCGGCGCCGCGGTCGCGCTTCGCCTCGCGCACCGCGAGCGCGCCCCGGTCGAGGAGGTCCGACGTGTACTGGAAGAAGTAGCCCTCGGGGTCCGTGCCCCGCAGGTTCTCGAGGTAGCGGCGCCGCGTCGCCTCGACGCCGCCAAAGAGGAGCAGCGCGCTAAGCCCTAGCGCGCCGACGCGGAGCCGGTCGTCGAGCTGCGGCGCCGCGACCATGCCGTAGGCGACGTCGACGCCCCCCGCGGCGGCGAGGGCGCGCTGCTCCGCCTCGAGCCGCGTCCGCGCGACGTTGCGCCGCACCAAAACCACGCGCGGGTTCACGGCTTCGAGGAGCCGCGCGACGCGGCTCAGCACCTGGGCAGGAAAAGAGAGATTCAAGTTCGCTTCAACGTGAGTGCTCCGCGCGCGCGCGTTCCGGAAAAAGCATCCACGCTTCGAGACCGTTCCGAGAGATGATCGCTCGTCCAAAAATCAGCCGAAACGAGTGGAAACGGCCGAGAGAGGAGCCTTTGAAGTTGGGAATTTCGCTCTCTTTTCCTGCCCTGCTCAGCACGCGCGCGGACCGCCCGAGGCGCACGACGCGCACGAGCTTGAAGACGCGCACGGCCCGCGCGCCCCGCGCGCCGCCGTTGGACCGGTCGAGGCCCAGGAAGAGCAGGTCGAGCGCGACGGCGACGACGTCGACGAGGCGGAACGGGTCCGCTATGAACGCGCGCGCGTTCGCGGCGCGCGACGCGCTCGGCGGCCGCATGAGCTCCCAGCACGCGACGCGGCACGTGAGCTCCGCCAAAAAGGCCAGGGTCACGCCCATGTCGACCGCGCGGCGCGTGCCCGCGCCCGCGCCGCCGAGCGCGAGCGCCACGGACGACACGGCGAGCAGGAGGATCACGCACTGCGCCTTCGGCGCCTCCGACGCGTCCCAGGCCCGCTTCGCCCTCCGCGCGAGGGGCGACCCGGCGCCGACGACGCCCTCGGCGACGACGGCCTCCCACTCCTTCTTCGAGATCGTGTTCGACCCGTCGCCGTCGATGGACGCGAACGCGGACGCGAGCGTCCGCGGGTCGCAGAACGACGCGAGGCGCTCGTCGCCGCACTCATTCATGAAGTTGAACACGTACGGATTGCTCTGGAGCGCGTCCATGATCTCCTCGAAGGTGATCGCGCCCGAGCCGTCCGTGTCAATCATGTCGAAGACCTCGCACGCGGCGGGCTGGAGCGTCTCGGGCGAGCTCAGCGTGAGCCCGTGGTCCGCCTAGGGGGACGCGAGGGTCGCGCGCGCGCGCGGGACCCTTCTCCGGACGCCGCGGAGCGACGGGCAGCTGGCTCGCCGCGTGGTTCGCCGCGTGGAACCGCAGGAACGTCGCGAGCGTCTCCATGGCGTCGAGCACCGTCGCCTCGTGGCGCGGGTCGTGCATGTTCGCGCCGCAGAAGCGGACGAGGCGCTCCGCGACGGCCGCGGCGACGGCGCCCCCGCGGCGGACCCGCAGGGACGTGAGGAAGCAATCCTCGCCCGTCTCCGTGAGCGTGTGGAGCCGCGCGGCCATGAGCCGCTCCTCGTCCTGCGCGTGGACGGCGCCCGAGTGGCGCACCGCTCTCTGGAGCCGCGACGTCCGGCGGAGCGCGGCCGTCGTCTGCCGCGCGCCCGCGAGGCCGCCGGGCCGCGCCCAGGACCCGCCGCCGGGCCGCGACCACGACCCGCGGAGCCCGCCCGCGGCGCGGCGCGGCGGCGCCTCGCCGGCCGCCGCGGCGTCGACCGCGGCCGCGGCGTCGTCCGCGAGCAGCGAGTAGTCGCGCGCGGCGCCGCGGCGGCCCGTGGCCCGCGCGGCGGCGCCCGCGCCGTCGACGGCGTCCCAGAGCAGCGTCGTCGCCTCGCGCCGGAGCGTCACGAGGTCCTCCACGCCGCCGTCGCCCGCCGGCTGCGCGCCGTCGTCGACGAGCGCGAGCTCCGCCGCGCAGGCGCCGTAGGCCCGGAGCAGGTCGCCCGCGGCGTCGACGCGCGCGGCCTGGAGGATCTCGAGCAGGAGCACGGCGTAGGCGCAGCAGAGGCCCGCGCCGACGTCCCGCGTGCCCGGGAGCCGCGCGAGCCGCCGGCAGCGCCGGCAGCGCTCGACGGCGACGTCCGCCGGCACGAGCGCCCGCACCGCGTCACACGTCTGCGCCGTCACGGCCGACGCCAGCGCGCGGATGACCTCGAGGTGGACGCGCAGGCCCACCGCGTCCACGGGGCCCTCGGCGCCCAGCGGCGCGAGCGCGGACCGGCTCGCCTGGACGAGGTCGTCGTCGTCGTCGTCGCTGTCGTCGGCGAAGACCGCCAGGCGCCGCAGCCACGCCGCGGGCCGCTTGCCCAGCGCGCGCAGCGCGACGGCGCAGCGGTCGCCGTGCTCGAGCGTCGCCGCGCGCGCGGCCGAGAACGCGTGCGGCCGCTGGAGCGTCGCCGCGAGGAGCCGCGCGGCGCCGAGCACGACGTCCCGCGGCGGGCCGTCGTCGAGGAGCAGGGACGCGGCGGCGTCGACGACGTCGGGGCGGCCGAGCGCGCGCTTCGCGGCCGCGTCGTCGACGGCGAGCGCCGCGAGGACGGAGCAGGCCGTCACCGCCGTCGCCTCGCGGCGGTCCGCGCCGCCGCCGTCGAGGTAGTCGCGGAGCGCGTCGTCGTCGCGCCGCGGCGACCGCGGCGCGTCGAGCTCGGGCAGCGCGCGCGGCGACCGCGGCGTCGACGCCGGCGAGCCGGCCGCCGGCGCGGCGCGCGCGGACGACCGCGCCGGCCGCGCGTCCGCGGCGGCCGCCGCGACGACGGCGAGGTCGCGCGCGGCGCGCTCGAGCACCGGCGTGTCCCTCAGGAACCCCGCGACCTGCCCCGCGACGGCCGCGTCCGCGCCGCGGAGCAGCGCGGCGAGCGCGTCGTAGGACAGCTCCACGAGGCGCCGGAGCCGCGCGGACGCGGCGCGCGTCGCCGCGCCGAGCGTGACGTCGACGCCGCTCAGCTCCGCGAGGATGGACGCGACGCCGAGGCCGAAGAGGATCTTCTGGTTCCGGCCCGAGACGGCCGCGAACGCGAGGATCTCGCGGAGGAGCGCCTCCGCGTCCGCGAAGGGGGACCCGGCCCCCGCGGGTCCGTTCGTCCAGACCTGGTACGACTGGACGTAGTGGCGGAGGTCGGAGACGCGGTCGTCGAGCTGAGGGTAGGTCGCGAAACTCCCGGCCCAGCCGGGCGGCAGGTCGCCGAGCTCGGGCTCCGCGAGCAGGAGCACGTCCTCGGACTGGCGCAGGAGCACCGCGCGCTGGGCCCGGACGCGCTGCGCGAGGCGGAACGTCGCCGCGGCGAGCGCGTCGCTCTCCGTGAGCATTAAATCCACGAGCACGTCCTCGAGCTCGTACTGCTTCTCCGGTTCGAGGAACTTGCGGATGAGCGACGGGCGGCGCCGGCTCGGGTCCGCGGCGTCGCGGACGTCCTCGACGGCCCGCGGCGACGGCGGCGGCGCCGCCGCGCCCGCCGCGCCCGCCGTGTCGCCGTCGTCCGCGAGCGTCCGGCGCTGGCCGAGGCCGCGCAGGATGTCGCCGCGCGCCTTGTTCCCGCCGGCGACGTCGGGCGCCGCGCGCGCGTCGAGGCGGCAGCGCACCTACGAGAACAACAAGCTCTGGTCGGAGTACGTGACGTTCGCGACGTTCGTGAGCACGCCGAGCCGCACGAACAGCTCGTCGACGGCGGCCCTGAACTCGAGGAAGACGTCGTCGGCCCAGTGCTGGATGCGCTCGAGGCCCGGCGAGCCGCGGCGCCGGTCCGCGTCGCCGCCCGGGTGCACCTTGCCGCCGCCGCGGCCCGCCGCGGCGTCGACGGCGTCGAAGTACGCGATCATGTGGACCTAAGGAAGGGTGGCGGCGTCGGCCGTCCTCCCCTTTCCCGGCGCGCGAAAAACAACAGAAGACCGTCGCTCGACGCCGGCGCGGACGAAGCGCCCCACGCGCCAGTTCTCGAGGACGTCGAGAGACCGCTCGAGCACGCGGACCATCTTGATCGTCGCGTCGAGGCCCCGGAGCCGGCCGTCGGCGTCGACGAGGTCGCTCCGCGGCGCCGGCTCCAGCAACAGGCTCCCGCGGCGGCCGCCGCGATCGGGGAGGAGCCGCGGCGCGACGGCGCGCCGCCGCGCGTCGAGCAGGCCGATGAGCGCCGCCGCGTTCGCGGCGACGTCGGACATGCGCGCGCAGAAGCCGAAGGACACGAGCGCGTGGAGCGCGTCGAGCAGCGCGCCGTCGTAGGCCGCGCCGTCGTCCGTGTGCCGCCCGTCGCCGCGGAGCGCCGCCGCGACGGCGGCGTCGACGAGGTGGAACTTGTCGGACGTCGGGAACGCGACGAAGTCGCGGATGCGCCGCGCCGCGCGCCTCTCCGCGGCCACGAAGTCCGCGTCGTCGTTGAGGCTGTCGCGCCGGTCAACGTAGCCCGACTTGCGGAGCGTCGCGTCCGCGTCCTTGAGCGCCTGCGCCGAATTCAAACAGTCAACTCGACTTCAATGTGCGCGTACGCGACTGTTTCGACGCGAGCTCTTCGGCTCTGCTTCGAGAACTCGACGAGAGCACTCGATTCGTCCAAAACTCAGCCGAATCGACTTCGACGTGACCGAGCTCGAGGGTTCTGAAGTTTGGTCGGGACCACCCGAACCGGCGGTCGAATTCGGCGCAGTCGAGCGCGAAGTGGAGCAGCACGGGGTCGCTCTGCGGGTACAGCGCGGACGTCGGGTCGACGACGACGATCTGCTCCGGCAGCTGCGCCTTGCCGCAGTTCTCCTCGTGGGGGTAGCGGTCGAGGTAGAGGTGGTGCAGCAGGCGCACGAGCGCCGCGCGCGCGGCCGCCGGCAGGCGCGCGTCGACCATGGACGACACGAGGAGGCCGTAGCTCCACTCCTTCTCGACGACGCGCGCGACCTTGTAGCTCCGCGTGCGCACCATCTCGGACAGGGTGCGCACCTGCTCGACGAAGTAGCGCGCGAGCTGCTTCTGCCGCGCGAGGCCCGCGCGGAGCGCCTCGTCGCCCCGCGCGGCCGCGTAGACCTCGTCGTAGGGGCAGCCGACCACGTCGCGGCAGAGGGCGTCGCGCGCCGCGTCGTCCTCCTCGAGGATCCAGAGCAAGTCGCCGAGCTCGACCCACGCGCCGCCGCGGCCGTCGGAGACGACGGCGAGGCCGAGGACCACGCGACCGCCGGCGCGGCGCACGCCGGCGCGGCCCGGGCCCCAGAAGAGGTGGGACGTCCGCGGCTCCCAGGCGCCGCCGTCGGCCGGGCACGTCCACGACGCGTAGGCCCGGGAGAAGCCCGCGCGGAGCTCCGCGGCGCCGAGGAACGCCGCCGGCGCGGCCCCGGTCGCGGCCCACTCCACGGGCGGCCCCGGCGGGAGCCCGCCGTCGCCGCCCTGGCGGACCCGCAGCAGGAGCGCGCCGCGCTGCGCCGCGGCCTCGCGCGACCGGCCCGCGCCCGGCGCGTCGACGAGGCCGAGCCGCGCGGCGCAGAGCTCCTGGTTCGACTTGACGCCCCGGCCGCGGCAGGAGCAGATGGCCCCCAGGAAGCCCAGCAGGTCCGCGCGCGGGCCCTGCGCCTCGATGAGCGACGCGAAGTCGTCGACGACGCGCGCGTCGATGTGGCGCTCGAGGAGCTCCTCGTTGTCGGAGACGAGCTGGGACAGCGCCTCCGCCGCCCCGACGCTGTACGCGATCTGGTCGATGCAGGCGAGGAACCAGCCGCCGCCCTCCTGCTCCACGAAGAAGAACTCGTTGGCCTTGTTGCCCGCGAAGCAGAGCTGGAGCGCGCGCATCGCGAGGCGGTGCGCGCGCATGCCCGGCCCGATGGCCGCGCCCAGATCCCGCGCGCCCGGCGGGAGGCGGTGCGACGCGAGGTAGGACCGCCGCGCGTCCGCGCCGAGGGCCTGTGCAACATCAACCACTGTCTGGGGGGTCCCGGCCAAACTTCAACCTCTCGAGCTCGGTCACATCGAAGTCGATTCGGCTGATGTTTGGACGAATCGATTGCTCTTACCGAGTTCTCGAAGCGCAGAAGAAGGCCTCGCGTCGAAACTGTCACATACGCTCACATTGAAGTCGGGTTGAAGATTTGAGTTCGGCCCGGCCGAGGGCCCGGGCCTCGCGGTCGCGCGGCGCGCGGACGACGTCCGCGAGCGCCGCGACGAGGCCCATCTCGCGCGCGAGCGCCTGCCGCCCGCGGTCCGGGGCCCCCGCGAGGGACGCCGCGGCGCCGGGGTCCGGCGGCGCGTCGCCCGCGTCGCGGCCGAGGAGCCAGGCGATGCACGCGCCGAGGCTCCGCTCCGCGCGCTCGCTCCGCGCCGCGGCGCCGCGCGCGGCCGCGCCGTGGGCGACGAACTCGCGGCGGAGCGCGCGCGCGACGCGCGCGTCCGCCCCCCTGCGCCGCGACACCGCGCCGACCTGGAACGCGTCGGCCTGCGTCGCCGGCCCCGCGTGGAAGCCGAGGTCCGCGGGCGCGGCGTCGTCGTCGCTCGCGGGCGCGGCGTCCGACGCGTCCGAGTCGCTGTCGGCCGCCGCGGCGCG